TTTAAATTAATTTTTAATGTGTCTCCAATACTCTCAGCACACGGGAGTTCTTTCTAAGCTTTCTTTGACTGAAATTGTAAAATTAAACTGGTGTACAGTATTGTTGTGTGTTTGACTTTAGACTTTTTGGCAAATCCTTTCAAAATTTGTATTGTTGAAAAATTTGTAATTTCAATTTCTTTCTGAATTTCCACAGATTCTGGATCGTAAAAATGTAGAGATAGAAGAAGTTAAGTCACATTACAGAGGAAAAACAAAAGAAAACGATGAAACAATCAAGAAATTAGAAAAGAAAGGTAAGAAAGTGATTTGTAAAGTTGTGACAATTGTTAATTAGGCGACTGTTTCCTGTCCCATATATTGTCATTCAGTCCTTGTATGGATTATGTTAATGAGGTTCTACCTTCACTTGTGACTGACACAATCCTGTAACACCATATTCTCACAAACGAATGTCTGAATTTCTCCATTTTCAGTTCAAACCGTAATCAGGGAATCCACTGTAATCAGAGAAAACAAAGATAAGCAAATATCAGAGCTGAAGAAAATGGCGGAACATTCTTCACAAAGTACTCAAAATGATTATGACAAAAAAGTAAGTGCAAATCAGTGTTACATATTTCAATTTTTTTTCAATTGAAAATGTCGAGCAAATCTCTGCAAAATTCATTTTCTTCCACGTGGTTGGTATTCTCTCAAGAAACTTTTCCAATTTCTGTGATAATGTGAAATTCGTGTAACATATGGTAAAATTAAATTTATTTCTAAATAAAAATATTTTCTATGACCATTTATTAATCAAACTTGAGTTTCTGATTAAAATGTACTGAAATAAAACTTATCTATTTGTATTTTCATTTTTTTTTTAGCTTCATGATGCCATTGCCGACTTTGAACAAGAGAAATTTGAAATGCAAAAACAACACACCAAGAATATACAGGAGTTGCTTGATGACACAAATACCCGTCTCCAGAAGATGGAGGGAGAATACAACGCACAAGTAGAAGCAAATGTAAGTTTTACCAAATATTGAAAATTCACAAATAACTGATTGCTTCAAATAAAAAACAAAACAAAATTGTTATCCATCAATAGACCTTAACCACAATTAGTCAATTTTTTTGAGATTAAAATTGTCAAGACACTTGTATTTGCCCCTCAAATAATGTCCCATTCCCCCCTGTCATCAAGTTGACTGTTCCCCCAATCTGGGTAACCAAGTTACTGTAGAATACTTTATTTTCGCTTGGAATTTATTTTCGCTATTTTCACTGAAGGATGATTCTGTTAAAATAAAATCCAGCGAATATACTTTTTTTTCTTATATTTCACATTAAACTCATCAAAAATCAGTGAAAATAAATTCCATATAAAACGCTCAAAATGCCTTTTCAGCGAAAATTATTTCCAGCGAAAATAAAGTATTCCACAGTACTAGTATTTGAAACTAAGAAAGGGATGATGGGAAATATGTAAATGACAGATATGCAAATTAGAGAACAGTGAAAATCTGATCATACTCTTGCTATAGAATCTCACGGTTATCTCTCTAATTTGCATATTAATATCTGATCAGAATCTCACTGAGATTCTTGCAAGAGTTTTGGTCAGATTCTTGTTAGAATGTGGCCAGACTTGAGTCAGAGGTTTTTGTTAGGGAACTCTTTGACTTTGAAAAATAAATTTTACATATTGGCTGACTTTTCCACAACCCCCATGTAGTAGCCCTTTTCTGTTATTTTTGCCAACTGTTTCCGAGATGGATTCTTCATACTTATGTGCATATATTGTGCATTCATTCAACTAATAACTACATTTTAAAATACCCAAATAATGTCTGACTGAACAACTGAAAATGTCTTTTTTTATTCAGGCTGGTATTATAAAAGAATTGGAAAACAGAATACAAGAGTTAACTCAAGAAGCTGAAACCCATAGTACGACAAGACTAAGAGTTGGACAGGAAAGAATGGACTTGGAGGGAAGAAATATCAAACTAACAAGCGAGCTTGATGATATGAAAGTGAGGCAAGTAAAACAAACGTGTCAATTCTATGATTTAAATATTTTGTTTTAGAAAGTACATTACCCGTACATTGGATTTGAAAGTTGTTTTTAATACCGTAAAATACTTTATTTTTTTTGCTTGGAATAAATTTTCGCTGAAGGAAAGATTCAGTGAAAATAAAATCCAGCAAATATATAGTCAATGAAAATAAATTCCATACAAAACACCCAAAATGTATTTTCAGTGAAAATTAATTCCAGCTAAAATAAATATGACCGCCAGAAATATCATCACTGCACATAGATACATAGACCCAAATAACTTCAATATTTTAATCATCATGATGCAAAATTATTTCAACATTTATTATTTTCATTCTCGTTCTCATCATTAGATATTCAGCATTAGAGAGGGACTACAATCGTATGAAAGAAGACACCGAGAGAGAAATCCGACAATTACGCAATAAATCAGAGGCGAGCATCGAGTATATGAAACAAGAACACACACTGTCCTCGTCTAAGGTATATATGGAATATTAATATTTAACTTTTGTATTTCAATAACTGAAAGTATTGTGCTGCTTAAGAGAAGTAAAGGGTGGTAGTTATGGTTACAATTTTGTCTGTTACAGTGATCATAAAATGTCTCTGTTTGCATAATGAAAACGCAAAAAATTGTGTCTTTTCCATTCTCTTTGAAGTCTTTTATAATCTCAGGGTTCCGTGGATAATTAAAATATGCGCATACCAAATGTAATATTTGTTTAGGTGATAGAGGGGGTCAAAGATTTCAATTACTGTGTGCAAAATTCGCACTGATTTGTTTTTAATGTTTCTTCTATTTTTTTGCACTCGCAAACTTATGTTTTGAGGGGCGGTGAGAGGGTGTTAACTGTTAAATGAAGAGATTACATTTCTACATGCATGTGTTTTAATTATCGATAGGCCCTTCCTAAAAATAAACTGAAAATCTTTCCAATTATTTTGATCAAGACCTGCAGACATTAGTCCAAATTATGTCCATTTATCAAAAAATTAGGTGAGAAATAAAGCATTTAAATACCGAAAAAAATACTGCATTTTAAAAGTTGAAGAATGCACTCTCTGAAAATCATCAAGACACTATGTCAATATAACCCTTTCCACTTGATTCTGCTAGAGGGCAGTATAACTACAAGTATTGACCATTGAATGTTTACTTTTCAGTCGAGTGACACAATACGGGACTTGGAGCAACAGGTAATGCAATTAAGACAATCACTGCAGGAGAGTGAACATCAAAGACAAAGACAAATCAGGGTAAATAAAGTTTTTTCTTATTAAAATGTTTGTATGTATGTCTGACGAATACCTGAAGAACTGTTCACATAGATGGTACATTTAATGCTCAGACCTGAATAGTTTTTGGTTGAAATCTGTGAGTATTAAAAAAAATGATCTCAAGAACCACTCAACAGGTTTCAATGAAACTTGGTAACTATATGCTCTTGAATTAGACAAGAAATAGTGTGATTTGTTATGTGTATTTAAGAAAAAACTTCATCTACTTCATCTACTTCAACAGGCCTGAAAGGACTATTCAATAACTTTAATTTATTTTTATTTATTTTTTGCTTTTTTTTTTAATTCTTATCATTGTGATGCACAGGCTTTTTGAAAGTATGGTGCTATATAGTTTCAAATAATATCAATATTAATAATAGTTGAATTAATGGTATAAAAACAAATCTCCAAGCTTTAAAATGGTAACATTTTTCAGATAAAGAAAATATTTTTTAAATCATGTTAACTAATAGATCAGTTCAATCGCTACAGTTGTCTTACAGTGCATGTTTTAATTTTGCATATTTGAATAATGTATTTTTGCACATGTTGAATCATAACATGGGACCCATATCAAACAAACGACTGTGGTATCTCTTTTATTGTATTATTATGTTGTTATAGCAACAATAATTTGAATATTTCATTTGCAGGAACTTGAAGCCGTACAGCAACAAGACAAAATGCATTCTGAGCATATGCACGATAAGAAAGTTCAAAGCTTGAAAAATGAACTTGACCAAGAACGACAAGATTCCTCAAGAAAAATTAAGAAATTAGAACATGCTGTTAAGTGAGTCCCACACAATCATTTCTGTTTTGCATATCATTCATAAATCTAGTGTCAGCTTTAACCTTTTTACCACCAGACTTTCTCGCCAAAATTTTCTTTGCACTTTTTCTTATAATTCTTCAATATTTCTGGAAATGAACCCTAATTTTGGAGTCGACAGACAAAATTAAGGTCAGTTTTCAGTGTTTACTCAAAAAAATTGTCTATTTTTGTCCCAATCTTCTGAAGGAAAGTGCAGACCATAAACGAGACTACCGTACTTCCGCAATCATAAGTCCAGGGGCCTGAACATGTAGGGGGTGGGCTTATACTCGAGGACCACCTCAGAAAAGATAATTTTTTGGGGGGTTTAAAATTGTAACCCTCTTCCCAACCGCGAAAAATCATCAAAATTACATTTTTCGTTCACAGCGCCGGTCTCAGAGAAATATTACGATTTTTTGATTTCCACGACACTTTTTACAATGAAGAAACAAATATGTTCATAAAAATACACACATTTTATTACAATACAGTTTACATACCATCTGAATTTACGGTGCAAAAATGGGTAGGGTCTGTGGAAAAACTGTTGAAGGCAAAATCTTTATCATTATCTTTGCTGTGGAATGTTTTTGATCGCTCGCACACTCTCGATACAAAGCAATTTCCGCCATGGTGTTTTTCATCATGATTTGACCTGAACAACTTCCTTTGACCTAAACAGGTCATGTCTTTCGTTAACCAATCAAAATGCTGTACAGACGAAGTTTTCTGATTATTGACGAAGTAATTTTTTCAACGCAATGCGGAAGTGAATGTTAAAATGCGATCTGATTTCGACAAAAAACAGTGATTTTTTTTCCCTAAAGCTGTTAATTCCCAATTTTCGAAAAGTAAACTGAGGGTGGAGGAAGTATTTAAATGTTTCACGGTCCCCAATAAGTCATGTCGAATAATTTGCTGGTTCACATCCCATTCACAAAGGTCTCAATGGACACGATTATTCGGAAAAGTAAAACTATGTTCAATGACCATTTTTGCCATTTCTAAAACCACTACTCAAAAGGAATATGGATTAATCAGTATTGCAACATCGGGATTCATCGTGAGTAAATAACAGAATAGAAAAGGTGCGAACCATGTTCCGTACGTTCGCCGGCCATGCACTCTGAAATTAATGGAGTTTTCTCGTAAAAGCAAGAACCAAACTACTGTACCAATCATGATTTTTATGCAATGAAATACAATTTTTACATGCATATTTTAATAAATGTCGTCAATGCCCGGTAAAAAAACCCTGGGCCTATACTCGGGGAGGGGCTTATACTCGGGGAGGGGCTTATACTCGGGGAGGGGCTTATACTCGGGGAGGGGCTTATACTCGGGAAGGGGCTTATACTCGGGGAAGTACGGTATTTTGTGAATTTATGAAAAGGTCAATAGTTTTGACCTCTGGTTATAAGTCAGTAACATAGCAACCATAAAACAACTTATTGCTCTATAATAGATAATGGGTCAATTTTATGTGCGATGTGACAAGAATCCTATCAATTGTTGAATCTGAAACCAATATGGCACTATGGAGTGTTGATTAGTTTTTATGATATATGGCCCTGGTTTATGAATATGTGTATCTCTCTATGCTAAAAAAAATGCAGACAACACACTGAGTTGATTATAAAAGAATGTTTAATGTTGCTACATATCTGTTTCCATATTGCTTTTATTTTGTCGTCACAAAGCCTGCAACACTAGAAAAGGTTTTTTTTTGTAACCAGCAAAATATGCAGATTCAGGGCAGATGGAACACGATAGAGTATCATAATATTTTATCAATGGTGAAATGCGAAGTCCAAATCTGGTATGTTATAATAATAATTTATGTTTTTCTTTCTAGGGAGAAAGATCAGAATATTGCAAGGCTTACCGAGTCGCAGCGGATCCAATCGCAGCAGTCAGAAATGGCTTTAGAGGATTTCAAGAAGCAAGTAGAAAAGAATTCAGGAAAAATGTTTGATGAAATGAAACAACAGGTAAGGCCCAGTAAAAATAATGTATTTATGTTTCTGGTCATCTCGAACATTAGAGAAAAACAGACGTTTTTTTCATGTATTTTGTTATTTTTAGAAGACATGAAATAAAATCCTGTTGCCATGGAAAAATCATAATAAAAGCACAGATTTAAAGCCAATTTTAGAATAAAAAATAAATAAATAAATCTCTCGCATCAATTTTAGAAATGAAGTTGACTTGATTCTTTCTTTTTTTCTCATGTATACCTAGCTGATAAAATTATTATAAAATTACTTTATTTCACAAAGTCATTTTCGCAAAAAATCTCAAACTTACTTTCACTGATTTGTTGCTTTGTCTCTAGTGGAAATAAAATATATATTACAGTATCTGAAAAGTT